CCCCAAAACCCCAAAACCCCAAAACCCCAAAACCCCTTTTATAAGTATTTTAATTGATTTTATCCTAACACAAAAATTGGGAATGAAGCAAGCAATGAAAGATCTTACTACAACTCCAATGAAAGGGAGTAACAGTAAATTCAAACCAAGGCAGGGTCTCAGCAAGAGTCCTATTGTCACTAGTATATCTTTATTGCTCATTTATTTTAGGCAGAGGTGCAGATAATTTTAGTATGACTCCACTGGCAGTCAAGTCTCGTAAAGCCAAGAAGTTCTATAAATCTCCTTATGCTCCTTTGCAGAAGAGCATTTCTAGGCAATCTCTAGCGAAAATGCAAGGAAAGATACATAAAATAGGCCATTCTTGGAGTAAATTTAAGCATTTTAAAGCGGTTTAGGCCACATGAATTTGACCCAGAAATGCTCTCCTTCGTTGAAATCAAGAGACAGTGAATGTAAAACTCCTTCTGATAGGAAGTCTTATAGAGCAGACCTAGGCTTATCCAGGACTCTCTGTCCTGGTTACGAGGCTCCATCCCAAAATGGAGAAGTAAATACATGAAAGAAGCATGCTGACAAGCCTGTGAAAGGATACTGCCGGAAGAGCAATAATCTATTATGTGTCAAATGAATAGTTGAGAGTACTCAGAAGCAATTTGACTATGTTTCCCTCTCTAAAGCATATTCTGAGCAACAGTAAGTGCACTGCTTGGCTATAATGGCATTTTATAGACAATATCTTCGGAATAAAATCATAAAAGTGGTCAAGAGCAAGGAAAATTTGTTCGCAAAATCTAAAAATATCCCAAATGCTTTGGAAGAGATTGATAAGTTGCATAAAACTGCTATTAGCCAAGCTGAAAGCTTCTATTCAACAATTTTGAATGAAATAAAGGCCAGAAAGACACAGACACTAGAAGATCTTGAGAAGAGTTGCGTGGAGTACAAATAAACAACTAGAGATAGACCAAGGAAAGCTTAAGAAAGTTTGAAATGTGCTTGAGGTCTGAGAAAAACAACCCACTGATTCAGACAGGAGCCTCTCTATCATAAATTTCTTACTCAAAAGGAAGGAGCTTGACAATTGCATCAAGAGTCATACTGAGGTCCTGGAAAAAGATATCTTTGGGAATAAAGGGAAGATCATGTTTAGCTTTAAGAGAGAAAAGTTTGGCTTACTTCATTTCATCAGAAACGAATTCAAGGAGAAATAAAGATGAAATTGTTATAAATAATAGCCCATGTCTTAGCAAAGCTAAGGCATGTGGTAAGGTTTATAATCATAGTGACCGGAAATAGCAACAATTTCAAAGAAACTCGGAACTGTAAGTAGTCTTTTGTGTATTAACCTTTGTATAGCCAAAATGAAATATAGTCAGTTTAACACTTCGAAAGGGTATCTTTCTAGTGAAAATACTACTTATCCAGGCCAGAGAAATAGTTCTTCTAACTCTCGAGGGACAACGATAGTGAAAGAGTTCTCTAGTAGACTCATGGCCCCTACCAAATCAAGTGAGATGAGGGCTAGTAAGACTAAAAAGTATGACCCTGATCGGTGCAAAAAGAGTGATCTTAGGGACAATAGTTCGATGCTGATAGAGAAGATTTGTGATAATCTAAGTGAAAGTCAAGATACACCTGTGATATCCTTCCATTCGCCTGATACGTCAGATTCGCAGACCCAACCGGAGCAAGACTCAACGCCTATAGTTAGCGCTAGTGCAGAGATATACCATATACCTGATTCACAGCACTTTGTAGAGTATGAGTCTCCTGAGGTAAAACAAACTCCAAAGGGTAACAAGTCTATTAATCTGTTGCAAAATCCTTATGAAAATGTCTGCTCCCAAAGACCACAGAATCCCCGGGAGTTTATGATACTAAAGAAGAATCAAAGATGCCATAAGCTATCTCATATCCCAAAGGCAGCTGAAGAGCTATTACAAAACCCGATTCAGAAGAAATCTAAATTCGGCCAAAAGAAGAAGTGCACAAGTTTGAACTAATTTCCTAATTATTATAAAACATGTTGACTTGATCTCTTCAGCTATTTCCCCTGTACTTTCTGATCAATAGAAAGATTGGGTCCGCACAGAAGTAGCCTAATCAGGAAGCCAAGGAAGGAGTCTTAGGCTCTGAGCTCAGCGCCATGGCTTCAGGAGCTAAATTAGTTTTCAGTTTAATTTAATCACGAAGGGGTTTTGGGGTTTTGGGGTTTTGGGGTTTTGGGG